TGAACAACTACAAAAAGAAACATTTTGGAGTTTGTTCTGGAAGCTCTGAAAAGTTTGTAAGCCAAAAATGCGAGAAATCAGCACTTCTTTCAGTACTTTCTTCCACAAAAACCTTTTTAAAGTCAAAAGAGAAGAAGAATAGAGAAGAATAAGAAGAATAGAGAAGAAAAAGTTAGGAATAGACTCAAATTTTCAGCTTAATCCCCCTTCATTCTTTTTCTCTGTAGGCCTACGAAAAGGTTTTCGAGAAAAACGAGATTTTATGATCAGTTTCTGATAGAAAAACAAAGCTCTAAATAGCCGAAATCAAAGCCTAAAGCTCTAAATAGCCTAAAGAATAGCCTAGATCGAATGCAAAAATCTTTCTGATAAACGAAATGTTGGCCAATTGTTTAATTCTCTTTCTTCGAAAACGAAAATCGAAAGTAGACCCTCAAGACAACCCAAGACGAAAGTAGAACCTCAAGACTCAAGACAAGACAAGACAAAACTCAGCCTAAGCCAGGCTAGATCAGGATCCGATTTTTTGATAATAGTTACAGTAGCGGACAGAACAGCTGAACAGAACTGCTGAACAGCTGAACAGAACTGCTGAACAGCTGAACAGAACTGCTGAACAGCTGAACAGAACTGCTGAACAGCTGAACAGAACTGCTGAACCGCACGATGAAACTGCCAACAGAACGCTGAACAGCTGGAAGAACGCTGAACAGCTGAACAGAACTGCTGAACAGCTCAACAGAACTGCTGAACAGCTCAACAGAACTGCTGAACAGCTCAACAGAACTGCTGAACAGCTCAACAGAACTGCTGAACAGCTCAACAGAACTGCTGAACAGCTCAACAGAACTGCTGAACAGCTCAACAGAACAAAAATAGACAGAACTGCTGAACTTTTTGAACCCCGAGGACATAATTTACCCCGAGGACATAATTTTGGAAACTTTTAAAAACAACTCTAAATAATGACGTAAAAAAACCATTAAATTTCTAAATTTAAAAAAGAACAAATAAATCAATTCAATACTTTGTGGAAGATCTTTGTGGAAGCCTAAGCCTTTAGAATCAATCAATCAAGCCTGGCACCGAGCGCTCATCGAAGCGATCAAGTTGTCGATGGTTGTTGTTTGAATTTCCATCCATTTCTTAGCCAAAAGCTCGAATTTTTCATTAAGATTATGGCTCTTAACGCCTGACAGGCTCTCTCCAGAACTTCCTATAGATGTTTCCAAAATTATGTCCGCTACTGTAACTCATGACTCAAATGTTCTTTAACTGATTGACAGGAAAAGAGTGCTGACCCAGAAATGCCGAATATCTACTGATCTTTAGACAGATCTACTAATAGATATGTCAAATAAGCTTCAGAGCTTCAGAGCTTCAGAACTTCGAATATTCAGCTAGTGAGTATAAATGCCTTGATTTTCTAGAACCCGTACCGGTCTTCTCATCACAATCATCATCGCCTCAATCATTCTCATTCAAAACGTCGATTTCCTCGGTTTCTTCATTCCGTCTCGAAGAAAATCCCATCAATTAGCTGCCACTAAACCAAATTCAGAGTTATGACAGTAAAAAACTGATCCTTGTGTCTCTGTTAGTATAGCTAGAATTTTCAATTTTTCTTTTTAAAGCTCTTCTTGGGGTAGGCTAGTTTCCGCGACTTTTTTTGAGCAACTGAGTCATTTGCGCAACTATAACTTCTTTCTAAGTAGGCCAATCTTTATGCTTTTGGTTTCATTTTGTAGATCTTAATAAGTGCAACAAAATGGGATCAACATCATAAAGATTGGCTGACTTAGAAATAAGTTATGTTGAGTTCAACCCACAGTAATCCGGCGGTGGCTACTTTGCGCTAAAGCAACTGGCTCTGCGCCATAACTTTCTCCTAAATAAGCCAATCTTTATGGTTTTGGTTTCATTTTGTTGCACTTATTGAGATCTACAAAATGAAACCAAAATCATAAAGATTCGCCCACTTAGAAGAAAGTTATGGCGAGTCGCGCTAACGACCCAGTTGCGCAAATGACTCAAATCAAATGACAAAAGACTCTTTAGCACAAATGACCCAGTGGCGTATGACCCAGTTGCGCATGACCCAGTGGCGCATGACCCAATTGTGCAAATGATCCAGTCGCGCATGATCCAGTTGCGCATGATCCAGTGGCGCATGATCCAGTTGCACATGACGCACTGGCGCATGACCCAGTGGCGCATGACCCAGTGGCGCATGACCCAGTGGCGCATGATCCAGTGGCGCATGACCCAGTTGCGCATGACCCACTGGCGCATGACCCAGTGGCGCAAATAACCCAGTTGTGCAAATGATCCAGTCGCGCATGATCCAGTGGCGCATGACGCAGTCGAAAACTAGCCGAAAAAGAGTTGCGGAAACTAGCCTGCTCTCTCTTCTTTTCAATTTTCTTTCAAATTCTTCTTTCTTTAAGCCAAAATGACCAATTTCACTAGTCAGTGTCTTGGAAAAAAAAAAGTTACTATGTTAAATGTGTTAAAGTGAAATTAATTCATTTAAATAAATTGTGGATGTATTTTATAGTGTAGCCTAAAAGCACAATCTCTGACCTAGAAATGATAGCAGTTAGCTGACGTTTACAACCCGTTTTCTTATATGCAAAATCGAATTTTTCGATTTTTCCACATTCCCTAAACCGTCTCGAGATTTTTCTTCTTCGAAATTGAGCTTTTTGAGAAATTTGAGCATAGTGTCTTTGTTTGTTTTTGCTGAATTTTCATTTTCTTTTTATTTTAATCTCTTTCCAGTTCTGATTACAGGGTTCTTAATCATTGATTACTCTTCGTTTTTTGTCAAAATTCCTTTACTCATACTGAGCACTGTCATTTTGTGTATTTTGTACACTTGTTTGTGTATTTTTGTCTAAAATGGCTTAGGGTTACTGTAACCAGTACGCTTTATTTGAAATTATTGAGGAAACTTTTTACAAATAACAATTTACAAATAAACAATAAATTTAATTTCTTGATTGTTTCAGTGGAAAGTGCAAAAGATCTAGAGAAAAAAAAGAAAGAATCGTAAAAAGAAAATCCTAATTTGTGATTAACACAATACAAAGAAAAACATCAAAATAAAGTCACGGGAAAGTTCGATATTTGGTTGGTTGGTTCGTTCGTTGCCTCGTAAACGGACGTTGCCTCGTAAACGGACGTTGCCTCGTAAACGGACGTTGCCTCGTAAACGGACGTTGCCTCGTAAACGGACGTTGCCTCGTAAACGGACGTTGCCTCGTAAACGGACGTTGCCTCGTAAACGGACGTTGCCTCGTAAACGGACGTTGCCTCGTAAACGGACGTTGCCTCGTAAACGGACGTTGCCTCGTAAACGGACGTTGCCTCGTAAACCAACGGATTCCTAACCCCGGACGTTGCCTCGTAAACGGACGTTGCCTCGTAAACGGACGTTGCCTCGTAAACGGACGTTGCCTCGTAAACGGACGTTGCCTCGTAAACGGACGTTGCCTCGTAAACGGACGTTGCCTCGTAAACGGACGTTGCCTTCGTAAACGGACGTTGCCTCGTAAACGGACGTTGCCTCGTAAACGGACGTTGCCTCGTAAACGGACGTTGCCTCGTAAACGGACGTTGCCTCGTAAACGGACGTTGCCTCGTAAACGGACGTTGCCTCGTAAACGGACGTTGCCTCGTAAACGGACGTTGCCTCGTAAACGGACGTTGCCTCGTAAACGGACGTTGCCTCGTAAACGGACGTTGCCTCGTAAACGGACGTTGCCTCGTAAACGGACGTTGCCTCGTAAACGGACGTTGCCTCGTAAACGGACGTTGCCTCGTAAACGGACGTTGCCTCGTAAACGGACGTTGCCTCGTAAACGGACGTTGCCTCGTAAACGGACGTTGCCTCGTAAACGGACGTTGCCTCGTAAACGGACGTTGCCTCGTAAACGGACGTTGCTTCGTAAACGGACGTTGCCTCGTAAACGGACGTTGCCTCGTAAACGGACGTTGCCTCGTAAACGGACGTTGCCTCGTAAACGGACGTTGCCTCGTAAACGGACGTTGCCTCGTAAACGGACGTTGCTTCGTAAACGGACGTTGCTTCGTAAACGGACGTTGCTTCGTAAACGGACGTTGCTTCGTAAACGGACGTTGCTTCGTAAACGGACGTTGCTTCGTAAACGGACGTTGCTTCGTAAACGGACGTTGCTTCGTAAACGGACGTTGCTTCGTAAACGGACGTTGCTTCGTAAACGGACGTTGCTTCGTAAACGGACGTTGCTTCGTAAACGGACGTTGCTTCGTAAATCTCTACAAATTTGGTTCCTTTTCTCTACAAATTTGGTCCTCTTTTCTCTTTTGGTTCCTTGCGAGACAACGATGCGATTCGGCAGCAGACTTTCCAATTTTGAAGTTAAACAGTAATGCTGCTCGTAGCACAAACTTTTCCTCGACCATGATCTAAATAAAAAATAAAATAAACAACAACCAAAAAATTGAAATGTCGAAATAAATAGCAAACAAATATGCGAACAAAACATAAAAAAAAGAATGCCGTTAGCATCGCTCGTTTCTGATAAATGAGAGCTGCATCGCTCGTTTCTGATAAATGAGAGCTGCATCGCTCGTTTCTGATAAATTTCTAATAAATGAGACCCATCGGCAGTTTCTTTTGCACCACCCTAATACTTTCAATAGTTTTTTTTGTTTAGCCACTTATAAAGAGAGTTATGAATTGAATTTTAAGAACGATTTATCTCTTTTCACTCTGTATTCTAGAAAACAATGCAAATTGCATAAAGGTAATAATGTTTAGCATGAGTTATGAGCTTTAATGTTCATTTAAGTGTGTGTAGAAAGACAGCATTACTTTGTGTAGAAAGACAGCAAGAAAGACAACTGTTTGTGTAGAAAGACAGCATTACTGTAAGCAGTTGCTTTATTTAAAATTCGAGAGAAGTAAACATCTTTTCTTTGATAGACACAGCGATCTTTGATAGACGCAGAGATTATTTGGTCATCTAAAAAGTACAAATAATATCTAGGACTCAGTTTCTTTTCTTCAACTCACATAGAAATACGAGCCAGCTTCGGGTGTGCCCAACAATTTCCCTGTTGGAGTAGTAAGAAATTCTGTGAATGATGTGTAATTTGCGTGAAGATCCTGGAAATCATTCTGTGTTTTACTGGAATCAAACTAATATAGATCTTATGCTTGGTTTACAACTAATAACTCTGTCGTTGCCCGTCTCCTTACTCTAATTTGCTTTGCTCTAATTGCTCTAAGCAAATTGCTCTAATTTAGTATCGATTTAGAGTATAGGATCTAGCACAGAAACGCCCCATTAAAATTCTAAAGGATTCAGTTTTACTTCATAGCTTTTTGTTGTGTTCATAGCTTCATAGCATAGCCAGTTTTTGAGAAAAATCCTTTGGGATCCTTTAGGAAAAATCCTTCAAATTTAGGCACTTTTAGTGATTTAACGAAAAAGCAGAAAGTTTTTGAGAGCGGGATTCGAACCAGGGACAACCGGGAGCCAGTGCCAAGCGACGGGCCAGCACACTATCCACATCATTCTGTGTTTTACTGGAATCAAACTAGTATAGATCTTTCTAGTATAGAACTAGTACTCCAGTCACTGTTTGGGTGAAGGTAGTTCGGCCCCATACGCCGGCGTTGTTCCATTTGGAAAAACGGCGCCGCCGCTGTATGATGCTGAATTACCATTAAGAGTGACTGAATGGTGTAGCGGATAGTGTGCTCGACCCTCGTACGCCCCTCTCTTCTGACTATGCCTGGTGTTCGACCCTCGTACGCCCCTCACTCCTGGCTGTGCCTGGTTCGAATCCCATCACTGTCAAAACCTTTTTTCTTCTTCGTTAAAGTCCTAAAATCCATTTTGAAGTGTTTTAAAGTGTCTATAAAGAGTAAGAAGCAAAATAGGGCTTCTGGAAGTGGCTTAAAAAGACTTTCAGTGAAGAATATCGACTTCAGAATCAAAAAACCGGTTTAACTGGTTTTAAAAACTGGTTAACTAGCTAGGAATTGTTATTTTTGTGAAAGATCTCTTTTCGGTCAAAAGGGAAGCACTCTACATCGGACGGGTTTGCCAGATCGCGAGCGGTTACGCTCGCCGGGATGACGACTATTAGGGGAAATACGGTAATTTATATGGAAGAACATTTCGCCATTTACACAATGGTTTTTCTTTTGCTTTTTAGATGATACGGCTATTACCGTATTCCCTCTAATAGTAGTGCACCCTGAGCGTCGCCTAAATTGCTCGAAATCTCGAGAACCGCTTATCAGAACCTATCGATGTGGGGTCGGAAAATGTAGCTGACGATGAGATCTTGTGGGAGATTTGAGTGTTGAGCTTCTGCGAAAGCTTGGGAACTGTAAAATAGTCGCCAACTCGGCTCGGCCGGGGGGAGGAGAGGCCGGGGGCAGGAGGGCATTACAATTAGAGAAAATACAGAAAATTATATTACTCCCGATAAATTGGTTTTAGTGAGAATCGGTTCTAATTCTCCTCTTTTAAGGCGTCTACTAGAATCAGCATTTCTCCCTGTTCCTTGCCTCACCTGCCATGTTTGTGGATGTCTCCTCGTCAGCCGTTGTTTTGTTTTAAAAACGAGCACAATGTAGAGTTTTCTCGCTGGAAAATGAAGATCATAAAAGTGGTGAAAAAAAAACAAAACAAACTCTGCTTCGTTGACACCTTGTCGTTGGTGATTGTCATCACGCGGTTGATGCTTCTAAAAAAGAAAACTCAAATGCAATACTTAGCCTCTTAAACCTAAAGAATACGCCCTCATCCCATGGGGCCACTGATAAATCGACATCACGGCTCAACGTTGACGCACGATTGTAGTAGAAATTCATCGATTCCGGATTTCCGTGTGGATCTGAAAGGGTCCACTATGTGACTATTTCCCGTCCACTTGTTTACCGAAGAGTATTTGTGGCTGAATATTTTTCTACATTCGCTCACTAACGTTCGCGTTTTCCACTGAGGAGTTCCACGTTTTCAAGCTTGCAAGCTAAGCCCTGCCCCTTTTTGGCAAACGACAGCGCACAGACGGCGCAAACAGACGGCGCACAGACGGCGCACAGACGGCGCACAGACGGCGCACAGACGGCGCACAGACGGCGCACAGACGGCGCACAGACGGACTTTGTATAAATAGTAGATTAGTCGCCTAACAGCCGGTTGCGAAACAATTGCAGGGATTGGCGGTGAGTTGAATCTTTTAGCTGGATGTTTTGGGGGCGACCAAGCTATGACCGTGGAGCAGTATTTCTACGGGAACGGGTATTTCTACAGACTACACGGGCCGGGTTCGACCCCCCGTACTGCCAATCAGCTTTCAATTTCTGATTTTTTCATTTGAAATGAGATAGCTATATGATATTTTAAGACCTTTTAAAAAATCTAGCATCAGGTGGCTGAGAAAAAGCCTGTAAAGACGGACAGACGGATGGACAGACAGACGGATGGACAGACGGATCGACAGGCAGACAGACTCTGCTCTTTTATATATAGTAGACAATAAAACAATGTCTAGTGTTTCTATTGAGTTCTACTTTGAGCACACAATACCCGCAAAAACTGTGTATTTACTTACTGTAAAGCAACAAGACGTGATGAAAGTATCCCGGAAATTGGTCTCTCAGTAATGAAATCTGAAATGTTTGAAGATTTATTCAAAGATTTTCCCTACAATTCAAAGATTTCCCTACTTTCTTCAGTGTGACCGGCTCTCTGAAACGATAGTTGAGCATTGAGAAATGGTCACCCGTTCGAATCTCAGGTAATGGAGATGATGTTGGACTTTTCACATATTCATTCAGAGTAATCTAAAGTTTTGATCAGTGTTTAAGCCCAATACAATGCAATAAAGTAAAGGAATGAACGGCAAAGAATTTGGAAGCTGGGAATTGAACCCTCGGCCTTCTAATTACTAGGTTGATGCTCTACCACTGAGCTATTGGCTACTGAGCTACTGAGCTATTGGCCCCTTCTTTGCTCAAGAAGAAATAGGAAGACAAGGAAGAAGAAAGGAAGAAAGGAAGAAAGAAAGGAAGAAAGAAAGGAAGAAAGAAAGGGAAATACCCGGAGCTTCAATGCACATTAAATTTAGGAATCTTACTAGTACTAAAGTTTTTTTTTAGACAGCTCAAGAAGTTCCCAATATTTCACAACAACTTTCAAGTGTTTATGTGAAATTTTTTTTCTATAAACTCTATCCTTTCTGGAGTCTCATACAAACGCATAACATCTAGCATATTAAATCGATCAGTGCACCAGATAATATGTGTTTTTAAAGCCATTTTTCAGCAGAAAAACACACACACACACACACACAAACACTACCATCTGGCAAACAAGATTTGATAAGTTTTTCGTTTTTCTAGATTTCTAGTTTCTCTAGACTTTTAAATTCCTTATTGAGAATTCTAAAGTTAAAATATTTATCTGATTCATTTATTTTTCCAGCAGATTGCCAGCAACTTTTTTTGAACTCACAAAATCGATCCCAGCTCCTGGCGCATTCGGGATCAACGACGGAGACAAAGAAGTTACATAAAAGACAGGCATCGAGAAATTTGACGACAACTTGTTGATCCCAACTTTTGTCTCATAGAAAACTAAAGGTTTTTTTGAATACGCTATTCAAATATATATGTTACGTTCAATCTAGAAATCCATCTGATCTAGACTGATTCTAGATCGGTCGTCTGATCAAGACTGATTCTAGATCGGACGTCTGATCGAGACTGATTCTAGATCGGATGTCTGATCTAGACTGATTCTAGATCGGATGTCTGATTGAGAGTGATTCTAGGTCGGTCGTCTGATCAAGATTGATTCTAGATCGGATGTCTGATCAAGACTGATTCTAGATCAGACGTCTGATCAAGACTGATTCTAGATCGGACGTCTGATCGAGATTGATTCTAGATCAGACGTCTGATCAAGACTGATTCTAGATCGGATGTCTGATCTAGACTGATTCTAGATCGGACGTCTGATCAACACTGATTCTAGATCGGACGTCTGCTCGAGAGTGAGGTGAAACGTCTGATCTAGAATCTAGCCGATCCACTCTAAATCTAAGTCTAGATTGGATTCCTGATTTAGAGTGATCGGTTTGATTCTAGACGTTTGACCTCACTTCACTCTCGATCGGACATTCGATCTTCAATCAAATTTCAATCTAGACTAGAATCAGTCTAGATTGAACGTAACCTAGATTTTACCAACCATTCTCAAACGAATCTAAAGCCGTTGTTTTGCAGCAAAGATGCATATTGTAAGTGGAAAGCATCTGAACTTTTTTTTGATCTAGAAAAAGCTTTTCCCATTACTTGACTATTGACAGCTTGTTCACATGTGTACTCGTCTGGACATGATTTTTCTTCGGTTGGATCACAGAGAAGAACGGACGGGATATCATAGGAAGTGGCACCATAAGGACAAACTAAAAATGGAAAAAAACATCTATCGACAATTGAAAGCGTTTTCTAAAAGGCGCTAAAACTACCGTAATCTTCCAGGTTCTTAGCGCGCAGTTTGGTTGCAGTAATTTCCCAACTCTAACTCTCATACTGATTTGACTCACTTGGTTTCACTTGTTCAGGCACTCCCGGCGGACTACTCAAATCCTGAGGCACATCCGAGCAACAACGATAATCGTCAGTCATCTAAAAAACAGAATGATCGATTTCAATTCAATCACAGTAATTTCACCTTTGAAAAAACACAAGCAGGATTCCTTCCAGTGCATTCAATTGGATCGTGTGGAGTACATTTGACTCCCTCGTGTTCGAATTCTCGACACTGAGCAAATGTGGCCAAGATGTTTTGCTCGTGGCTTTGCCAAGGGAAGGGGCAAACTGGAAATGGATGAGATAAGAAGAAATGGATAAGATTGAAATGGATAAGACTGGAGTGATCTAGATATCGAAAAAATGATACAATCATTAAGTAGTGATATAAGTAGTGATATAAGTAGAATACAATAATTAAGTAGTCAGGTCAGAGATGGATCAATGCCAGTTCAGAGTCAGGTAAAAGTCAGGTAAAAGCAGCGCCAAGATGTATTAGCTCGATGATCGAAACTACCAACAAAACCCTTGCTTTGATTCAAGCCCCTAAAAGTTGGATAAAGCTATTGTATTCCTCGTAAGTGTTATGAGATATCTTGTAGAGCTCAATGAGAGCTTTCAGATGCTATATAGCACCTGTAAATGCAATGTCTACATCTAAAGTTACAATCCCTCAAAACAGCATCACTTTTTCGAAGGGGATTCAATTTTGACCGGTACTGTAAACTCAGGTTACGGTAAAATAGGTTACTTAGTACTTAGGTTACTGTAAAATTGATTAATTAGCCTAGGGTTACGGTAGTCAGCTCATGTTATAATTGTGGCTGATCTAGCAATATTTGAATAGAGTTCTGAAGTAAAAGAGCCGGTAAGAAAAGCTCTGGACCAGCTTTGACCCAGCTTTGGTCCTAGCTTTGGCTCAGCTTTGGCTCAGCTTTGGCTCAGCTTTAGCCTAGCTTTGGCTTAGCTTTGGTCCAGCTTTGGCTCAGCTTTGGCTCAGCTTTGGCCCAGCTCTGATCTAGCTTTGGCCCAGCTTTGGCTCAGCTTTGGCCTAGCTTTTGGTCAGCTTTGGCCTAGCTTTGGTCTAGCTTTGGTCCAGCTTTGGTCTAGCTTTGGTCTAGCTTTGACCCAGCTTTGGCCCAGCTTTGGTCTAGCTTTGGTCTAGCTTTGACCCAGCTTTGGCCCAGCTTTGGTCCAGCTTTGGCTCAGCTTTGGCCTAGCTTTGACCCAGCTCTGGTCCAGCTTTGGCTCAGCTTTGGTCCAGCTTTGGTCCAGCTTTCGCTCAGCTTTAGCCTAGCTTTGGCTCGGCTTTAGCCTAGCTTTGACCCAGCGTTGGCCTAACTTTGAGAAAAAATTTTGTATTTCTAAATAGAATTCGGAAAACTGAACTTACTATCTTCGAATTCACTCTTTTCTTCTTCTTCAATCACATCAATTTCAGGTGCAGGTGTCTCTTTTTTCACATCTTTATCAATCTTCGGTTTCTTTTTCGAGAATCTTTTCTCATAAGTTGAATGAAATAATAAAGAAAATAGCAATAGCAATAGCCAAGTGTTCATAAAAACTTATTCAAATTTTTATGAATCCGAGAAATCGATCGGGAAATGAAATCCTTGGTGACAAAGCCTCGAAGAAATCAAGAGATTCGACCAAATCGGGACAAAAAGCAAAAGATTTAACAAAAGCTTTGTTGTTGAATTTGGAAAGTGCCCGAGGGCTGAGAAAACGTTGTATTGACTCTCGATTGGTCACGATCATTCTCTTTTCAGATTTCTTTCTTTGCGTCTGGGAACTAGCCAAACTTGGACGGTTCCGGGAAGGGAAAAGCCTTTTTCACACCAATCTCTTTCCCAAAAAACTTCGATCAGGAACAAGATCGGTTTCCTTCTTTGTTTGTTCTTGAATCCATTTGAATGATCGACTTTTGAGTCTTTATGAAAGCTGTTTAAACCTTTATGAAAGCTAATAGTAAGCCCTGTTTTTATTCTTTTCAATTTTGTTCTTTTTCATTTTGTTATTCTTACAATTCTTTTTGTTTTTGATCAAAGCAAAACCAAGTTCTCTTATGTCTTTTCAATCTTTTAAATCTATTGAATAATATCTATTGAATAATATCTATTGAATAATATCTATTGGATAATATCTATTAGATTTATGGGTATGACTTGGCACGTTTTTTCAAAGATGACTCTTTCTAAAGAGTCATCTTTCTTTGAGATCTTTGAGAAATAATAAATAAACCGTTCGGTCCAGCAGTTGAAATCTAAAATTTGTGAATGAAATAACCCCTAACAAAGTCAATAAATTCATCAACTTACTGTGATTGATTAAAGAAAGTTTGTTTGGAAAATGCTGCATTTGTCGATGCTGCATTTGTCGCATTGAAGCTTTTGAGAACTCTAAAATAATATTTGTAATATTAGCATATTTTAAAATATACATTTTTCCATTGATACATCTTCTAGCAAGGCAGTCATGGTTGAAGCCACTTCAGTTGAAGCCACTTCAGCTTCAGTTGAAGCCACTTCAGCTTCAGTTGAAGGAAGCCACTTCAGCTTCAGTTGAAGGAAGCCACTTCAGCTTCAGTTGAAGGAAGCCACTTCAGCTTCAGTTGAAGGAAGCCACTTCAGCTTCAGTTGAAGGAAGCCACTTCAGCTTCAGTTGAAGCCACGCTTTGATTTCACAGGTTAGTAGTCCATCGGCAACAACAAAAGACTCTTCAACTTCATCAGTGGGTGGAATTTGATTGAAAGAGCTTGATGATGGCGATGGTTGACAAAAGAAGGGAAAAGCTCGATCAGCAGTCCAGCATTCCAGCTAAGCATTCCAGCATTCCAGCATTCCAACAAGCTGCTCGAAATTTTTCAAACCAACAATAACCTTTCTTCGAAATAGCAAAAGAATAATCAATTGTTCATAAAATAATACTCAAAGATTTGCATAAACTTTGGTTTAATTCAAATTAGATTGGATTGGATTGGATTGGATTCCAAATGGCTTAACATACACCCAGAAATGTCAACGCATTTGAATCAGCGCATCTTTTTCGATGCAAGTGCAGGACTTTTTTATTCCGTATTGTGACAAAGAATGAAAATTGTTTCTAACTGTCAACTTTTGATGAAAGAGAGCTGAGATTGCTGACAGAAAAAGCCCAGGCGTCAAGCCAAATGTGCATGAGAAATTTATGCTCTTGGATGATCGTTCTTGGATGATCGTTCTTGGATGATCGTTCTTGGATGATCGTTCTTGGATGATCGTTCTTGGATGATCGTTCTTGGATGATCAATGATCGTTCTAATCATCCCAAAAACGATCATTCCAAAATTTCTAGGAAATGGAATCCCTTGTAAAGAGAAAAATCCATTCACTTGTACTGAGAGGAATCCATTCTTGGTGTTCTGGGATTTGGAAGAGGAACTGGAAATAATCGAACTATCTACTGGGGAACTTTTAGATCACCAGACAACACTTAACTAAATCAAATACCCCGAGCAACTTGACAAGTTAGCCAAATCTTTGCTAGAGAAAAGACTCGACTCATTCTACCCTAAACTCACTTGTATGGGTGGTGTACACATCCCTTGTATGGGTGGTGACCCATCCAGTATACAGCCCTGATCTTGCACTTTCTGATTACTAGTTATGAGTGATGAGCAATGATTTCGCGAACAAATACTTTGACTTCGAAGACGAGGTCAAGAAATGGCTGAGAGATTGGTTTGAATCAAAGCTGGAGTTGGTTTGAATCAAAGCTTGAGTTGGTTTGAATCAAAGCTGGAGTTGGTTTGAATCAAAGCTGGAGTTGGTTTGAATCAAAGCTTGAGTTGGTTTGAATCAGAGCTTGAATTGGTTTGAATCAAAGCTTGAGTTGGTTTGAATCAAAGCTTGAATTGGTTTGAATCAAAGCTTGAATTGGTTTGAATCAAAGCTGGAGTTGGTTTGAATCAAAGCTTGAATTGGTTTGAATCAAAGCTTGAATTGGTTTGAATCAAAGCTGGAGTTGGTTTGAATCAAAGCTTGAATTGGTTTGAATCAAAGCTTGAGTTGGTTTGAATCAAAGCTGGAGTTGGTTTGAATCAGAGCTTGAATTGGTTTGAATCAAAGCTGGAGTTGGTTTGAATCAAAGCTTGAGTTGGTTTGAATCAAAGCTGGAGTTGGTTTGAATCAAAGCCAAAGATTTTTAAACGATAGAGGCATTCGACTTTTACCAGTAAAATAGGCAAAAATCATATAAAATAATGGCAAATATCTCGCATGATTTGAAGTTGTTGATTGAAGAAAAATTTGATTTCAAATTGATTGATTGATTGATTGATTGATTGATTGATTGACAGAAAATTGATTTCAAAAAAGGTGCCATGTCATATCCATCAACCCAAGGTATAAGTATTTATATCCAGAATTTTGTTCGTACAGTTCGTACTAACAGTTCGTACTAACAGTTCGTACATAGCGCTCTATTTTAGCTTTAGCTTTCTATCTAAAGCTTTAGATCTTAACTTGACACTTGGGTTTTACTTTTCGCCATAGAGGCTTTACTTTCCTCCATAGAGGCTTTACTTTCCTCCATAGAGGCTTTACTTTTCTCCAATTCTTTTATTATCCATCAACCTATGCTTTGAAAGCTGAAATCTTGCACTTTCTGATTACTACTTATGAGTGAAAGAACTGAACTAGTTAACTGAAAGAACTGAACTAGTTAAAACTGCAACTCTCTAGTTGTCTACGTCTGCTATTTTCAATTCTGATATCATAAAAGAAGCATAAAAGATCTGTGGAATCATTTTTGCAGAAATGATAATCAGGATAACGAAAATTTTCACCATTTTTCTACCGTTTCTATTTGCTCAACAAATGCCTCAAGGCCCGCCACCACAAAATAAACCAGGTATTAGTTAACTGAAAGAATTAAACTAGTTAACTGAAAGAACTAGTTAACTGAAAGAACTAGTTAACTGAAAGAACTGAACTAGTTAACTGAAAGAACTAGTTAAATGAAAGAACTGAACTAGTTAACTGAAAGAACTAAACTAGTTAAATGAAAGAACTAGTTAACTGAAAGAACTAAACTAGTTAAATGAAAGAACTAAACTAGTTAACTGAAAGAACTAGTTAACTGAAAGAACTAAACTAGTTAAATGAAAGAACTGAACTAGTTAACTAAAAGAACTGACCTAGTTAACTAAAAGAACTAAACTAGTTAACTAGCCTAATATAAATGTGATTTATTGAATGCATTTCTGAGAATCCTAACAACTTCTAAGCATGAAAACTCTACTGTTTAATCAGCTCAATCAGCTCAATCAGCTCAATCAGCTCTTGCTTTAAGATTGCTCACAACCATGGCAATCTCGAGAGTTAACTTACGTCCCAGCGCTAGCCCAGTGTTCATCCTATGAGGAAGGTTGGTGATCTGTTCAATTGTATTGATCAATGATTGTTTAAATCATCCCAATCATCATTCCAAAAACGATCATCCCAAAAACGATCATTCCAAAACCAAAATCCAATCATTCTAGGAAATGGAATCCCTTGTACAGAGAAAAATCCATTCACTTGTACTGGGAGGAATCCATTCTGCGCCTCGATTGGAAACAAAGAGTTCAAATGTTGCAGTGATATCATTCAGGACTCGTCAGAGCTCGAGAATTTGAAAGCAGAAGAGATAAAGCCGAGTAGATTCATGCAAATTGGTCCTTCATCTTCGTTTTAGTTTGTCCAAATGGTGCAATCCCTTACCGTATCCCGCATGCGATGCTCTGTGATCCGGCTATTGTCAACATTTGTCCACCAAATTATAAATGTGTTGAAGCAGCGAATGGACATCTTTTACCGCATGATGGACGATCTTTGTGCTGCAAGACGAGCACTTTATACAGCTTTGCTTCAGGTGAGGAGAAATTGAAAACTGAAAGAACTTTGAAGCGTTTTCTAGGCAGCTTATTTTAAAGGTGAATGATAAGTAATGAGTTTTTCAAAACTATTTTTCTCAGGCAAGAGATATCAGACAAGATATCTCTTGCCAGAAGACAGGATAGGGCAGAAGACAGGATAGGCCAGAAGACAGGATAGGCTAGAAGACAGGATAGGCCAGAAGACAGGATAGGCTAGAAGACAGGATAGGCTAGAAGACAGGATAGGGCAGAAGACAGGATAGGGCAGAAGACAGGATAGGCTAGAAGACAGGATAGGCCAGAAGACAGGATAGGCTAGAAGACAGGATAGGGCAGAAGACAGGATAGGCCAGAAGACAGGATAGGCTAGAAGACAGGATAGGCTAGAAGACAGGATAGGCCAGAAGACAGGATAGGCTAGAAGACAGGATAGGCTAGAAGACAGGATAGGCCAGAAGACAGGATAGGCTAGAAGACAGGATAGGCTAGAAGACAGGATAGGCCAGAAGACAGGTTCTGACCTGGCTTCACTGCAGATCTGGCTCACAAAGTTCCTGGGTCTGCCAGAAGCCAGGTCTAACAATAAACCTGGGTTCTTGCTTGGTTTAGACCTGCCTGATTCACAAGTCTTTAGGCTTGCCAGAATAGTTCAAAGTATACAT